AAAAATTTCATATTGGATTTTTGAAATCATTATTATGATTAAGAAAATCTACAAACACTGCATTCCTTATATTGAATTTGGAAGATCTCATTTAGAGCTGTTAAGAAAAGTTAAAAATTTTAAGTATTGGATTAAATTACAACGCTCTGATAACTGTGTGCTGAAAGCTTGTTATAATGATATGGTTGGAAATAAAGACCCCTGGATCCTTAACTTAAAACATGATCTTTCAAGAGTCGGCCTTGGATACATGTTTGTGACTGATAGTATTTATCATTCTAGTGAAGTATATAAGCAGCGATTATGTGATAGTTTTCAGCAAGATTGTCTAGAGAAAGTTCTTTCTTCTTCTAAAGGAGTATTATATCAGCATTTAGTGGAAAGTATTAAATTGCAACCATATCTACATAAGGCAATTACTTTTAATTATTTAAAACATATTTCTAAGATACGTTTATGTGCGCATGACCTGTCTATTGAACGTGGCCGTTACAGAGATATACCTAGAGAAGAAAGAAAATGCATTTTATGTAATGAAAATGATATAGAAGATGAATTTCATTTTATAATTAAATGTAATCGCTATTCAGACCTCCGGTCTAAATACATAAAAAAAAAATCACTTCAAAAGGCCTAGTATGTATACATTTGTTCAATTACTCAAAATCGAAAACACAAAAGAACTTAATAATTTAGGAAAGTATTTAAACGTAGAGCAGATTTATTAACAGGTCATCATCAGTTTATTGTATACAAATTATGTAATATACTATTATATTGATAAATCTGGTATGGGTGAATGAGGGTGAAGAATGGTTCTGGCGTGTGTATGATGAATGACGAATGATCGCTGCTGCTGTTGCTGATATGGTGATGATGATGATGATGTAATGATGTGATGATGATGATGATGATGATGATGATGATGATGATGATGTAATGATGTGATGATGATGTAATGATGTGATGATGATGATGATGATGATGATGATGTAATGATGTGATGATGATGATGATGATGATGATGATGATGATGATGATGATGATGATGATGATGTAATGATGTGATGATGATGATGATGATGATGATGATGATGATGATGATGATGATGATGATGATGTAATGATGTGATGATGATGATGATGATGATGATGATGATGATGATGATGATGATGATGATGATGTAATGATGTGATGATGATGATGATTATGTAATGATGTGATGATGATGATGATGATGTAATGATGTGATGATGATGATGATGATGTAATGAGGAGGAGGAGGAGGAGGAGGAGGAGGAGGAGGAGGAGGAAGATGAGGTTAATGAAGATGATGAGGATGATGTATGCGCGTCAGTGTGAGTGTTCTTGATGATGAGGATGATGTGGGCGAGTCATTGTGGGTGTGTCCTTGTGAGTGTCTTTGTCTTATCTGTAATTGCCATAAGTTGTAAAACTTCAGCAAATAAAGAACTTGAACTTGAACTTGAACTACTGCCCAGCAGGACATCCCACCCGATCACATTATACTTACAACGGGCGAACCAGTCGTCTCACTCCTAAATTATCGAGCGTTAAGCAGGAGTAGAAACAACCAATTTTACAGACTTTGGTATGTCTCGGCCAAGGGACAGATCCCAAAGCCTTCCTCACTCAACTAAAGGCCAAACGTGAGGCCCTGTCAAGGGAGATATTAGAAAGAAGAAAGTTGCTTAGAAAGAAGAGAAAAGATAAGATCCCAAAATTAGTCGCCTCTTACGACCATGCAATGGGGGCAGCAGGTACAATTCTTACGCCCTACCTGCAGGAACAGTACAACTTGGACACTAGCTATTTGTGTTCTAAGCTTGTAGAGATAGGTGGGGGTTTTCATGTTATTTCCCAGAAAAAGCATGGAAATCATAATTACATAATCACTGCAAGTTCCTCTATAAGCATTTCCAGAAGAAATTGCGTTCATATGGCTATGGACGCAATTTAATCAGCTTCATTTTGAAGTTAGAAGCAGACCTTTTGATGACGTAAGACTGTTCCAGGAATCTCATTTCTACTGACGACAGAGACACTAAGATTCTTTCATGCCTATATATGTAGATCAATGATAACTATACGATATAGAATATGACTAAATGAATTGAACAGCATTTTTCAATACAGGAAACCATGAATTTCGTTCTTCGGGGTAACTGTTTCCATGGTAACTTGAAATTGAAAATAATGATTCTCTATTAGGAAACGGCACAGCTAAGGCGCAAGCCTGGAGTGTACAAAGTTTCTTACATAAATGTAAAACCGGCACAAGCGTTTCGCGAGGGATAACATTGTAAAGTTTTCTTTTAAATATATGGGTTGTAGCAACAATAACTTCTTAAATTTTTTCTTCAAAAAAACATGTCAAATATTGATATTTGTCAAGGAGAAAATAATACGTAATAAACCTTGATATGGAAGAGATGCCATTGTCCTAAAGTAATGAACAGTCGACTACGTACTACTATATCTGGCAGAGGAATCCTTAAGCCTGTTGTCATATCCGTCTAATATGGCTTATTGAATAAAACACGGTTTAAACTATAGGACTGCTCAAATGTGTGAGTCATGTACTCAACAATGCAGTGTGCGATATATATATATATAGCTATTTAGCCGGAATATTAAATATGTTTACGTCATACGTTTAGTCAGGACTTGTATACCATGATACGGCCAATTATACCAGAAATTGATACGCCCCCTTTATCCTCACGGTAAACACACACATTAACATGTATCGTCATATACATTCTTTTGCACGGGAAAATAAGAGTTCGGAGGTTTCTGCTTAAAAAATTAACACACTTGATCGAACAAAAACAATGGAAAAACTACATACATTCTTTTCAGATGTAGAGCTAGTGTAATAAATTATAAACTGTTCAGAATTCTTCTCCATAGTTCAGCTACATGTGTTTTTAGGCACACGTTTGACAATTACTTTTTCGTTGGTCCAATTTACATGCATACGCGACTTATATTTATAACGGATTTAATGGATACCCATTTATCTGCATTAGAAACACATACTTAAAATATCGTTAACGGAATTTAAATAAGGCCCCGAGAAAGTTCAGACAGGAACTTACCGTTAAAAGGGACACCAGAGCTGTACTGAAAAAGAAAACCTCCAGACCCTTACAAGAATGAAAATTGATTTTTTTTTTCGTTAAAGCTAAGTAGTGAATTCCATAAGGGCTGATGCTAGCGAATGTTATATACGGCTTTAACCATTTTATATCAAGAAGGCCTAGGGTTATACGACTTTATCACACGTGTTATCAAACTATTATCTATATAGTTGTTGGCCATAAATGGTTTCATAAAGATATATATTACTACACATTTATATTTTTATTTTTTTTTCAAATATGGTTGCTTAGAAGCCTATGCGACTATTTTGTTTTACAATGTAGAGAATCCAATGTCGTTTCTCATCACAGTTGAATCCGTTTTTTTCCGTTTTTCAGTTTAAAAATGACAAAAATAACAAAAAATGCTGAACCAATTAACTTAACGCGTATATTAACTGTTAAAATGTTTAGAAGCGTGTATCTTTTATCCTTTGAACCACAAACTCTTTGGCAAATTTGTAATGTTGTAGGTATTGAACAGTCATTTTTATAAGTACAGATATCTCTCATGAAAAGAAATTAGAAGTCGATAACAAGTAACTTCTATCCGTTTTGTATATTTTTGCAAATGAAATACATGTATGTATAGCAATATGGAAGTGAAAACATAAATATCTAAGTCTCTACTTGGTATATAAGTATTCTATATAACTTCAGATACCATTACGTATTAAATAAATTTCCAATGAGACCAATATACAGTGAAGTGTGGTGTTGGATTTACTTTTAATTTAATCAATTTTCCTGACTTCGTTTTTCATCCCATTTAAATAAAAAATAAAAAATCAGAATAACTGTTCAGTTCTTTCATTGATCTTATTTATATAATTATCTTTTGCCGTGTTATTAAAATATCACTCTTTTATCTCCACATGAAAGTAGCTGATGACGTCATGCAAAAAGAAAATCGTTAAATTGTTTCGGCTTATAAGCGTATGGTGTTTAAAAATCAAAGATATGAATAATAATTAGAGCAACATTTTCAATAGAAACAATATATATCATTTTCTTGTTGTGGGTTATCAAAATAGGACGAAGAATAGAGTCAGGAAAACGTAATGAAATAAAAATTCACCCAATGGGAAAATAATGTAACATGAAAGACTTACGAGACGTTGAGCAATGCGCGCGTGCGAATTAGCGTGCGGCATGGTGTTTACACGTGCTTTTGTTCTGTGAAAATATTGAGGACTTCGAAAAATAGTATAAGCCCACTTTGTTTGGTATAATGCAGGGTAATTTTGTTACGGTCTCTAGTAAGTCTTGTCATTTATAGCTGGTTGTGAAGTTTTACAACGTTACAACTTAGCAGCCATAAGGGAAAAGTCGATAATCAGGTACACGCATAATAATAATTAATAATGATAATAAGATATGTTTATAAAAGATAATAACTATCGATTAACACATGTTTTACGTTAGTAACTTAATTTTACGCAGTTGCACGTTTACGCTAATACTGATTGTCCTGCGTACTTGAGGGACACCGTTTCCCGAAGTGGACTACATTCTTTAGGGATGACTATTATTTTTGCATTGACGACACAGTTTTGTATATTTCACAAATATCTGTAACTATATATATAATTACAATATGTGCCGTCTAATACGTAAAATGTCACTATATACATGTCGTTTAATTGGCCGGCCTGTGACTAGGAAGCTAATCAGTAATACACGAGGCAAATCTATATAACCCAAATACCGCTAATTTACTCAATCCGTCTTGATCCAATTTTGACCGTCCGCCTCGGTGATGTACCCTGCGTGGTCAAGCAACGTATTCCACAAACAAACGAGCTGTATAAAACTCCGTCCCCTCACGAGCTGTCCTCACATATAGCGTGGACTAGCCTTGTACCTACACATCCCACCATCAGCATCATGATCGGAATCGTAGCTTTCTTCGCCGTTCTTATTGGAGGTAAGTCCTCACTGGTCCTAATTTTAAAAAATGAGTTTTATTATCATAGATAGAATTATTAATGTATATTTATAAGTAAATAGGTTTTATTTTTTTGATGGTTTTAATTATCATAGAAAGACATATAATTGGATTTTATATAGATATATTACCGGTAATCATAGATAGAGGTTATTGATGTTTTTCTCTTTTTTTAAGAATGGTTTTCTACTAGTATTTTGACAAGGATATACATTTACCAGAGCTTATACAATAAGAGATATGTTTCTGCTAGTAATCAGCTTGTTATGGTTAAGTGATAGCTTTTTTTTTTGCCAATTTTGATAATGTTATATACATGTACATTAAGAATTTCTTGACAGTATAGTCCGGGCGGAAATAATTGAGCGGACACAAACATGCCTAATTTTCAATAAAAAATAATCAGTCATATGAAATTTAACCTTAAGTCACGAAGACAAGTAGGACACACACCATTCATATTTAAGTGGTGTTTAATTAAATAAGATATCTAATTAAAAATGTTACGTTAATATGCGTTCATTGAAAATTACTTGGAATATAAAACAAGTTGTAAGTCGTTAAAATAATCAAATAAATTGTGCACAAGCTTCATTATTTTTACATATATGTACATTTGCATATTTTTACATATTAAAATCAAATATAACGGGGAGTTGATACCTCTCGATATAATGATTGTGCGAAACATACCTCCTCGTGTTGCGGTTATGATGTTCCGGGTGGGACCGACTTTATGACCTAACAGTAGTTTGATAGTGTTATAATAATTATAAAGCGCTGTTTTCTGCTACAATGTGTCAGTGTTACACATTAAAGGTTGTTTTCGGCCAAAAGTTTGATAGTGTTGTTTTAAATAGCTGGTTTCTACCAGTAGGTTGAGTGTTATACATTACGAGCTGTTTTCTATCGGTAGTTTGATAGTACCTATTTACAGCAAGTCTTTGCGTTTTCCCCCCAGCTTGCCAAGGCGCCACCTTTGACATTGCGCCTTACAACACGTCTGTGGAGATCGGAGGAACCGCCACTATAGCTTGTATCGTCAGCAACCTCGGATCCGACAGTGTGACGTGGAAAAAGGCTAGTACCTTATATGGTCATATCACAATTTTTAATGAAAACATTTGTGTTTTGCGGTCTTGCGTTATTAACCGGATATATTGAACGAATTTTCCCCCCAATTAGTAACCATAAACGAGTATGAAGCGATTAAATTAAGGTTTATTCGAATATTTTTGATGGAATATATAATTCAATTTATTTATCCAATATATATATATATCTGTCTGTATATATAACAACCACATGTCTATAACTACTTTCCGTCTATTTTAGGTGTCTGGTTGATATTCCTATCATTGTTACTATTTATTGGTGACTGAATGATAATCCTCTTGTTGCTACTATTTTTAGGTGGTATCTGGTTCATCAACAACTACCATTTCCCTGAACACCCAGATTCTGGCCAGTGCTACCAAGTACTCTATCGTCGGCACATATAACTTGACAATATCCAACGTGGTCACAGATGACGTTGCACTGTACCAGTGTACTGTTGGCTCCGTCACAAACGAGGCCTACCTCAACACTGTCAGTAAGTAGCTATATAGACCCTCATTCCACATTTCCAATGAGGGAGAAAGTGTGTGAAACGCGACTGAAACTGCTTTGCTCAATTTATCTTTCCCTTTTTATGTATCAAAATAACTCCAAAATTCAGACACACCAAGGCCTGTTATAATCATTACACACACCCTGCGGTAACTAGGAGATCATTTGACCACAGGATGTAGATTTTGAGTTTGTGTGAGTTTGGACTTGAATGAGGGAGTTTCGAGGGAGATTGGTAAATTTTGGTAAAAATGAGGGAGTCCTCTTTTAGGAGGGAGTGTTGACAGCTAGGGTAGTTTTCTTTAACACTCTTACCGATCCAGACCCTGTAACTGTCACTATTGTTTACAGAGATCTTGCCCTGGGCTCACTTGTATAAAACATCTCAACTCTTGAGATTTCCTGAAGTCTAAGATTTCCCATAGACAATACATTGCTTCGAGATTTTCCTTAACTTTCAGATGTTTTATACAAGTGGGCCCTGATACTTAATAGCTCCAGTAACTCTAGATAACGTGTTCATGTTTTGTGTTACAGTTCTGCCCACAAACGTGTCCGTCTATTGGGAGAGTGCCCCACGAGCTGGATCCTCTGTAAACCTTACATGCAAAGCCACATATGGAAACCCACCTCCCTTCCTTCGCTGGTACAAGAATGACGTGGACTTCACCCAAGATGCTTATTACTACACTGAAAACACACTCTCAAGTGGTAAGTCCATTTATCACAATAGTTGTATCCCAAACGGCTTTGTATAACTGAGCACTAATTTGTTACCCGAGTTACCGAAATGTAATTATATAGCGTGTATGTTAATATATGATATCATGTGTTCATGATTTGGTGTTAATGTAAACATTTTTTCATCTCATATCACACAATTACCTGAAGAATGAAGAGTGCAGCTGAAAATTAACAAACCTTGTGAAATGATCTAGTATAAACTGTGTGTGTGCAGGTGTCGTACACATTGAGGGGGCATCGTATTTAGTTTGGAAGCAAATCGTCATTGCTACAAATCAAATGTGTCTTATGAATAAGATATCTGAGCTTATACTACCCTAATAAGTACATCTTAGGTTTCTGTTAGGATAATCTCCCTTTAACTTTTTTCAATTTGTCTAATAATTTAGATGGCAATGTTCCTGCAGTGCATGCTTTATTGTGTTCCTGTAATATGTTACCAATTCCTTATTAATCTTAGCACAGAAATCTATAAAACAGGGAAAAAATTTGCATAAATATTGAATATTTTTGTAAGGAACTTTCTAGGATAGTCAGGTTTGAATATTGTCGCCATTCAACTTTAACACGTGTAAGGTTATCTCCCCTTAAAGATGCCATATCGTTGCCTTAACCAGGGTATGGTGATGCTATGAGCACTGTGGCCATCAGCCTGCTGTCGACTGATGAGAACAAGCTGTACCGATGTGAGGTTCACTATGAAGGCTGGTACCGGGCCATGGAGTACACACTACAAACTCAGCTCAGTAAGTATCTCTCAACAATTACAGTTTTAGCACATAAAAGGAATCCGGATATTCAGCTGTAATGATGAAAATGTGGTCTTTATTAACTTTTTACAGTTTATGATTTAACTGCATTGGCGTTTTGAAAACCCGACCCCTACTTCAGATCTTTTTGTTTGTAATCTACGGCAGGACAGTTTACTGTATTTACCAAGGTGACCGTTTAACACGTGTCAGAATGTTGGAAATGTCAAATCAAAGTCCTAGATTAAGTTAAAACCATGTGCGTATAACATTTAACTGGAGTATTTATGCTTGATTAATACTTGAATACAGTAGTTATGTTACATTTAGTTATTTCATGCTCTAAACATAAGTGGGTGAAGTTCTGCAAACAATAAATTCAGTGTTGTCATAATTAGATCAGTGATGTCACAGGGTCACCTGACCAAATGGAGTTATAATCTCATGATTAACATGCATTGCATTCTCTACAAATTGTATGGTATATGGAGGGAAAATTGAAAATTGAACTGCCAATGGATCTAAAGTAACCACAACTGACTGGTAAGTTCCTTAAACATTGTAACAACCTAATTCTGAACAGTATATCTACATTATCATTAATTCCTTTTCTACAGGTGGAAGCAGTGCTCTACAGAGTTCGGGCATCCTAGCAGCCATGCTGTTAGCCGCCGGTGCTCTCCTAAGGAACATGTAATTCCTACGTAACGAAAGACATTCTCCACTGATGGCTTCTACGAAACAATAGCCTGGCCACATTTGACGAACAGGCACCTGTTCTGATGTGACTGCCATGGTGCAACGCTCCAGATTTCCACTCATGTCCATCAAAATAGTCCCCACCAACTGTGCTTCCAGTGTATAGCATGTAGCCTTTGTGTATATAGTGTAGTTGTTAAGTGTAGGTACAGGTATAAACTCATTCACCCCTTTATATCTAAACTGGACTTGCCCAGTCATTGATTTGGCAAGGTTCAAATGTGACTGTAGGGGTGAATGAGTTACCAGGTAATATAGAAATATAAGTCAAGATTTTTTGATTTTTTTTTAAACAGTAACAATTGTAAGATTGATATGCATGTACATAGTTATATGTTCTCAAGTTTACCAAACTGAGATTATGTTATGAGTGGCACCTAGTCTTATTGATTTGTTTAGGGACTATAGTACCAGATATACCCTGGTATGTAACTGGTTTACCTGTATGTATGTACAAATTACATCTACCGAGGAACCACTAGTTATACCTAGAACAATACATTCCTACAGTTAGATTATACCTCACCAAGGGTACGCAGTGAAAGACTGATACCAAAGCTGATTTAGAATATGGCTGTAAAACTTTTATTTATTGATAACATTAAACATGTATTAAGTTAGATTACTATACAGCCAGAAGAGGCACAGGACTAGACACTGAGATAGAACAGTGATGAGGGATTACAAATGGACATTTTGTGGAAGAGCGTGTCTCACTGTGATTTATCCTCAGCATTTTCGACTTTCGATCTCCTTTGTCCACATATCAAGTGGTTTTGAGGTTGTCGGTGCATTACAATGCCTGTAGCACTCCTCAAAGGGAGATAACCCTGTCTGGAGAGACATCAAGTGACCCATGGACCCATGACTAGATGACCAACAGTGAGAATAAGTGATGAACTGTGATAGAATTTTTAAATGTGTGTGTAAAAAAATTATCTATAATATATCAAATATCCTATTATATGGTAATACAATAATATAAATTTTGTCTTGGATTGAGTTCTGTGTAAATAAAGTATTCTTTTTTTATACATCAGTTTTAGTGTTATACTTGATGAAAACAGTCTATTGTGTGATGCAGTAAGCCATTAAAGACAAAATGTTGGGTTGAGTTTGACTTCAATGCAGTGTTCATGCATCTGTCACAAGATTTGTTATCGTACCATTTACCTCTCATATACATGTTTGATGAGTAAAATTTATAAACATGAGATTCGAGAAGGACCTTGAAGCCTGTTATAATACAAGCTTGATTAGTTCTGTATCATTATAATATTGCATTCTCTATTTTCTTATTTGTTGGATTGACAGTCTTGTCCACAGTAAATGCATCTACAGCTGTATTGGTAACTTTTTATTAAAACTTCTAATAGCTGGGTTTGACAGTGTCCATTCAAATTTAAGTCCTTGTCTAACCTATTTACTAAAACAGCAATGTGATAGCTACTTCAAACTCAAAACGAATTATGCAAAACTAGCAAGCAGAAAGAACTTGTTACACCATCCTATCAGTCTCAAAATGAAACATGGACAACCGCTGATAGAAGGATAGGATCATACACATGGCAGCCATCTTGTTTTTCCTATCAGTCTCAAAATGAAACATGTACAACCACTGGCCAAAGGATATGACCATATCAAACTTAAAGAAGATCAGTCCAAGTATTTCTTTAAAAATATCAACTTAATAACAAACTTGAAATGTCAAAATCCAAGATGGCTGACCAATGGCCATTTTTTTTTTTTGATAAGCCTAAAAATGAAACATGTACAACTGCTGACCAAGGGGTAGGATCATATGGAATTTAAGGAAGATCTGTCAAGTCTTCTTGAGAAATATCATACTTAATAACAAATTTGAATGATTAAAATCCAAGATGTCTGACTATTGGCCATCTTGTTTTTTCGATCAGCCTCAAAATGAAACATGCACTATGATAGACCAAGGGTTATCTTAATATGAAAATCCGAGAGGGATTCGTAAACTTCTTCTCGAGATATAGCAATAACAAACTAGGAATGTCAAAATGCGGGATGGCTGCCTGATGGCCATCTTGAGAAATGACACCACTGCGGCATAATCAGATGGTTTCCTTGATCTGCTGCTTTAACAGATTGCTCTCTCTGTCCAATACTTTGGTATTGGTACTGAAGGTGACGGGGTACGTACCGTACTAGTCATCGAAACGTCACACATAAACACATACTGGTTGTGATACATAACATTTCTACGACCTGGTTCTGTGTCACTAAAATTACTAAATTAAACGGGGTTTTCAACAAGAGACACATGGATTTAATCAAATAACTTTATTTTCTTTTAATCTTGTGTATACCAAGTATATTAACATTTTAAAGTTGGTTATATCAACATTTTCAAGTTATGATTATTTACAGTTTCCTACTTTCTTAAATTAAATACAAAATACATGCAACATATTAAATGTAATTTTTGCACCCATTCTTGTACCCTCAACTCAAACACCCAATTTTATTTTCACTCACTCTAATACATACAAACACTGAATTTTACAATTAAATAGTATGTCATGCTCTGTACATTAATATGAGTGGTTAAGTATTGAAAGAAAAAAAAGGCAGATACATCTGTTAAATTGTTCCTTGCAGTTACATGATTTAAGTATAGAGTTTCACTCCACAAAGCTTGGGAATAAGCTTGAATTATGATTTCTATTCCTTATTAATAAATTTATTTAACACCAGTATAAATAAAAGCTGTCTGCACATATTTTTCAAATACACACAAATATCACAATATGCAACACATCCTGTTCAAAATTATGGTCGTAGCATCTCCTCATCACTGTCATCGAAATCGTCTTCATCTACTTCTCCATCGATGGCGGATTTCCTTTTCTTAATAAATGCGACCAGGAAACCAATCAACATGAACTGTAAACAATAAGAATACAGAATTATATAAAACATACGTACACACTTTTTGAGAGATCAATAAAGGAGATTCTGCATGCTCAAAATTACAACATGAATAAATTGTGTGTATTTACCCTCTGGAGACAGAATTACACGTTTAAATGACATAGTTTGAGTTGTTCTTTCAGGTGAAATCATAAGATCTTAAATATACCTAGAAGGAATAGTTTAGCATATTCAATGGTTGAAAAAAAACTCTTCAAGGGTTTAAAATCGGCAGTCTCCCTTCTAAATAGGGAGAGTTGGCAAGTATGCACATCGCATACGCATTAGTGAAACGTTGGCGAAAAAAACCATAAGCAAACTTCCCCTATGAAACCCCAAAAACACACATCTTCTTCTTAAAGTCTTCCCAAAAAAAACAACTTACATACTTACTCCAAGAAACACCAATGTTGTCCAATAAAAGTTAGTCCGAATTATTCTGACGTTTTATCGACTTTTTTTGGTATCGGTCTGTCGTCGATTAACGTCAGAACTCCGGCCCTTTATAATATGCGGGAAATTAGCGAACCGCGCCGGGGTCGCACTTCCAACTGATATTTTAGAAACAAATTGCACTTTCACACACATGTCACACATGGATCGAAAGATCTATTCTTTATGCACTAGGTGGTATCAAAAACATGTTTCAAAGATCATTAGGAACAATATTTTCCAACGTTTTCTATACCAACCCATGTTTTTAATGGAAATTAGGGCATGAGCAATGTCACATGAATTGACGAGATCTCGCATTACCGTAGGTATTTCCCAAAGTTATGACGTAGGCCGGCGAGATTTTAGTCACGTGGCATTAGAAGGCGTGTCTATCAAAAATCTAGAGTAAAACAGAGTAAGTTTGAAAAAAGGTGTTTTTAGTGATTGTATTGGTTGTTTGAGGCATGTAATTTACGTTCATCTTGTGCATAAAGAATAGATCTTTCGATCCATGTGCGACATGTGTGTGAAAGTGAAGATTTGTTTCTAAAATAACAGTTTGAAGTGTGCTCCGGGCGCGGGTCGCTTATTTCCCGCATATTATAGAGGGCAGGAGTTCTGACGTTTATTGACGACAGACAGATATAAAAAAAGTCGATAAAACGTCAGAATAATTCGGACTAAATAATAGGCTGCTCCAAAGAACATAACATACTTACTCCAAGAAACACCCATGTGGTCCAATAATAGGCTGCTCCAAAGAACCACATCTTGTAGAAGAAGCGAGTGAGCAGCAGGGCCATCCGGGAGATTACACAGTTGGATTCATCTGTAGTAAGAATAATCATTATACACAGCATGCCGTTTACATAGTTGTTACCACAACATATTTTTGGGGTAGTTTTTAAACATCAAAGTTTTTAAAAATTAAAATTTCACAAGTGTAAAATTATTACTTGTAAAAATATACTATGCAAACTAATCTGGGTTCCATCTCAAAATTGTCATTGTTTTGTTTTTTTGTTTTAAATGTTTCAAAAACTTATAAACCTTAACTAATTTAATGTAGTAAGTATGTTTTTGTTTTGATTTACACATCCTCAATATTCCAAGGGTTATGCTCTCTGCACCCCTGGAGTATGTTACAGCAAAGGCATGATTGGTCTCGGGTACAAAAAACCTGACCAATCGCTAGGCTGATACCTATCCTTTGAAGATTTTAGACCAGCAACACCCAACTTCAAAGACAGTCAATCTTTTGATGTACGTCAAAGGATCAAACTAGTCTTCTTGTCTCATCCACAAGGTGACGCTCACTGAGCTTTTGCTATGACATATACATTTCAATGCAATTGTGATCTAAAATGATCATATTTGTTAATTTCTTGGAATTAGAAAGGTGATCCTCTTTTCCTCTGATTGACTCAAGTGCGGTATAAACTATCTTTTGAAATATGCATTAGAAATGATTTGTGCAGGGATAGATGGACGCATGCATGGAACCCATCGATATATACCGGGTATCACGATTCATCCATTGCTACAGTCTTAATGTTACGGGGATCTTTTCTTATCTGAATCATACTTTTAAGGTACAATGCCTTTCCATAGAAATGTATAGCTACTCACGTGCATCTGTGGAGCAGATCTCCAACTTTCCATCACTTGTGCTGTTGTCTTTTATCTGCAAAGAATTTAGTTTTACATTTTTTATACAATGTTATTATTTGTGTGCATTTACTGCAGTGAATAAACTCAATATTTACAGGGGTGTAAAATGTAACTAGCTTTATGCTTGGGACTAGTCATGTCAGGACAAGTGAAATTTTTAGTATTTACTTTGAAAACATAGGTGGGCTGGTAGAATTTATCAAAATAACCCTGCAAGCTAGTACTTTAATATAAATAGGAAATGAAACTGTACACCCCTGTTTATTAATCTATTTGTTCTATTATCCAGTGAGTTAATGACATACACAGATTGGATTATTTCAATTCAAAATTGTTCCCGTAATCCTACATTTTCGTTATTTATTTACTTTTGACGGCTAGATGGCTGAAATATGAGTTTCAAGTGATAATACATACTGTGTATCTCTGACTACCAAAGCTGGAGTACTGAGGCGTGAGTTCGTAGATGATGATGTTGATGGCCGACATGATGAACATGAGGATCATACACAGCATCAGTATCCCCTGGGGGCGTGTTCTCCGTGGACGGATCTTATACATCTGTAACCAAGGAAACAGGCTTAAGTGGAGCAGGAGAATTAAGGTCTGTATTACTGACTGGTTTAATTGGACCTAAGATAATGAATTCAATGTCAAAGATAATTAACTCTCTCACCAATATTTGGAGATTATTATTACATGTAAGTTAGGCAATATAAAATTATATTTTGAAATTCAAACTGAAGTTTTTTAATTCAAAGTAAAGCACAGTTTCAAAACATGACATCTTCCTATATTTAACTTGACTTCTGGAAGGAAACATTTCCTCAGTGAATCAACCTTGTTATGATCCCATATCTCTCATCTTTAGCTCATCTAAAAAATATCAAATTTCTGTCAATCAAAAGTTTTAAAGAAATAAAGTTTAGCTGAAAGAATGGGTCAAAGCTAGATTCTGTTAATAGCTAATGTTTAACCATGGTGACATGTATCGCTTGTTATTCATGCTTTGATGCAATATTAAATATGAAGCTATGGACGACGGGAAGCCACTGAGTACCACGTATATAATTACCTTGAGCCAAAAGAACCAGATGCCGATGTTGCGGACACCAGACATGGAGCAGAAGACGAGGTAGACCACCAGCAGGGAGAACATGATGTAGTCCAGTGGGAACACCTGGAAAAACAATCAAAAGAAAGAAATTTAGCCCAGTGGTTTATATTTAACAGCCATTGATAACAATATTCTGCATTTAAATTTCCATGTCGAAGTTCAAATCGCATTGAAATTACCTATGTCACAATTCACCAGAAACAGTCACTTTTTTCCCTCCATAATGAGAGAAAATCGATCAAAATAGTAACTACACAGCTTAAAACATATAAAGTGATAATGTTTAATGTGAAGGTTAACATAAGATAAATCTGGCCTTTTATCTGTGGTTTAGTATGAATGTTTCCAGGGATATAGCTTTCTGGTAAAGTCAGAAATTCTTGTACCTTTCTTGTAAATTGTGTATGTGAAATAAAATGTCTTTCTTAACTACCCTAGGTGTTAATACTTATCAACAAACTGAAGGATATTTTAAGAATCAAACTGATATTTCTGCAATATTTTCATTATTGTATTCTTCAACAGTGTTGTAAGAAGCTATCAATTCCGGAATAGCTGAGAAATAAACTCACGTGAACAGACTTACCTTCTGACAGAAGACGAGTACCATATCTACAGGGTTGGGAAGGGTTCGGTGGGGGAGGGCGTACCCAAACTTGTATCCCAGACTGTGCATGGCCTTGTCTATGCTGAAACATCATGATAACATCATGAAGTGAGGTTCGTGGACCAAAATATCATATCAACAGCACTAAGTAAGCTTGGTGGACCAGATAACCAGTTGAAAAATAAAAAAAATATTCCTATAAATAAGTATTTCACTTTTTTTTTTATATGAGATGGAATTTGATTTTGACCTATTTATTGGTGTGATCTGTGTATGTATTTTCCTTGCAATCAACTTCACTAAGTAGATGAAATGACAGTTTCATAGCATAACTTAAATACCAGACAAACTTATTTATTGACAGACAATTATCATTTGAAAGACAAACTATGTACCAGTACATATATTGTCTGGCAACAAACCATTGGGTAGAACAACTAACTGACAAACCAATTAATTAATAGACAGACCAATTAATTGATAGACAATTTATCAACTTCTTTTTTTCTTCTTTAAAGCTAATGTAACAATATTTAGTTTCATAAAATATTTATTAAATTTCTATTTTATTTATCCATAGAACAATATGTATGCAATCCTCAACTCACTTTGTCAGGAGCAGGGAGACAAAGATGAGCAGCGTGATGAGAAAGAAGAAGACGCCAAAGACAACCTCGAAGGGGCGGAGGACAACCAGGCATCGCTGAAGTATACTCCCCTCGTTAGTAGCCAGGTGCTTCTCTTTTCTCTCCATCAGACGATCCGATTCTTCCAGGTTAGAAAGGTCATTCCTTCGTCGTGATGACATTGACCGGCTAGAATACTGGAAGAGAAAAAATAGGCCAACAGGACCTGTATTTATCACCTATTTTTTTAACTGACCGACATATTCTAAAATATCCAAAATAATACTTTTAAAATTAAGAATTTAAAAAAAATAAAAATGTAGTCAAACAGATGTTGAAAAAGCTCTGTCCAAATTAAGCCATCCACATTTTTGTCATGTTGAACACAAAACTTAGAGATCTACCAGGTGGTACTTTTAAATGCATACAGGTTAAGTATTTTATTAAAAATAATTGAAAAAATTAGCATACATGTGTATATTTTCTATCACATTCATGTTTATTCATACATAAAAAGAATCTCAAAATAATTTTATGATTTTAGAGAATTTCAGAATTCAGATGGAAACAAAACAATTTTGACATTATTTTTATCATTGAAACAAATATTGGAAAGTTCTTTTCACAAGGTTAACTGAAATAACAAAGAACAATGCTGTCATTTATTCCATACTTTGTGAATTTGAAAGATTTGATTGGTTAATACTTGTCACATAACAATAGGAGTTCTTCACACACTTAACAGCTTTTTTGTGATTTAACTTGTTTTCTTGTTTTTTATTTCTATTTTCAAACATTCAAATTTTGAACAACTGCAACTCTGTCAAATGCATGGTAACATGTTATTTTTATGAAATATTTGTGACATTGGGAATAATGTACCGGTATACGTAGTTTTACATGCAACTCAGTCAGTTGTCAGCTCCTAATGGCTCCAACTGTCCAAATTTACATATTGACATTGTCGTAAATAATATAAAGCCGGACATAAACGTACAACAAAACGTTAACCACACAAACAAGTTGACAGTTGTGAATAAGTTTATAATAGACTAATTAATCTTACCTTATCTTTGAGGGACTGTATTCTGGCTTGAGCAGTCGATCGCTCGGACTGCACGGAAAGTTTCTCCGATTTCGCTCCTTTCCTACCTTTAATTAGACCCATTGGCATAGCCGACATACCATATGCCTAATATTGATAAATAAAACAGAACACAAATATCTTATAATGTTGTCAAAATTGATGAAAGCTACGAAACACAGTTATATACATCAACCAAAATAAAAATGTTGCATATGCCATCTGTCAAAATACACAGATCCTTATCACCTTCAGCTTGCCAAAGTGGACTGAAGAAAAAGATACACAATGGTTTGGGGAGAAACAATAATGTGCATATAATGAGATCTAAAAACTTGCCTTTTCTTAAAAATTGTATATAAGGAGAGTCATGAGGACTTTCTGTACATATGGAGGAGAGATACAAGGACTTACTGTGTAAGTGATGAGGGCACACATCCCCAGCAGACTGATTATACTGATGACAAAGGATAGGGCATCTTCACCATCTGTCAGAAGTACACAGTAAGATATAATGAAAGGTTTTTAACTCACCATCAACACATATCAATGATCTAGCAAGGAGTCTCACTATCTCTGGCCATTTTTTCAGAAGAAAATATTTCAACTAAATATCAAAACTAACTTGCCTATGTCATCCTTCATCTTGACTCCTGTTAATTCATAGCCGCAGTTTTGACATCAAGACATAATCTATTTCCTTTTCATCATATGCCCATCACTCCTTTTATTGTTATATCAATACATGAGCATGATCTCAATCGAACAAACTTGAAAACATCAGTAAACCTGTTCTATAGATTTTCTAATAGTAAACCTAGTTTTGTCTCTGTCAATCTTTGCCATTTGCATGCAGACATAAAATGGCTTTGACCTGAAATTTTGTTTTCTGGAATGAATGCTAAATTCAAGAATAACTTTGTGTATACAAAGTGATATTCGAGAGATTGTTTATTAAATAAAACAGTCGTACTCACCATTTGTGGTGAGGTCACTGAACAGGTCTTTAATTTTCTGGTAGTCAGTAGCATTCGGGTTTGGCAGATTCTTCGTAGGTACAAACGCTCTAGAAATCGTTAAGAATACATCATGTTAAAACTTCACTTAACTCATTCACCCCTAAAGACACACTTGAATCCTTCCAATTCAAAAGTTGGAATAGCTCATTATGAAACTTCAGGGGTCAATAAGTTAACAAGAATTTTAACCGCTCACAGGTACATGCAGTTGTAATACATGTAACAGAGGTTTTATTTGTTCAATGTCTTTGCTTGGTGTCAAACCCGGGACCTCTGGTTTACTAGTCTCACATTCTACCGAATGGGCTAAAGAGAAATTCTCCCTAGCCGAGTGGGTAGGAAGCAGCTCGTCTTTTTACCAGGTTGAGATACACAAATGCAACTGGATTTCAAAAGGAGCTGTCATAAACAAGACATCAGATTCATCCACTTGACAACAAGTACCTGATTCAAAGAAACAGCTTGATCATTTTTAGGTGAACTGATATTTTAAGCCTGTCCACCTTCGATACGCTCACTTACACTCTCTGCACCCTTGGAAATATGACATGACAAAATTGAAGGCTCAGTTTCTCCATCTTGTGAATGAGAAAAGGTACATCAAAAGCATCTTGCGGCCATGAAACAGGAAAATTGACTGGCTTTGAAGTCGGGTGTCGCTCCTCTGTAATCTTCGAAGGACATGTATCTGCCTAGTGATTGGTCAGGTGTTTTTACCCGAGACCAATCAAATAGCTAACCACGTTCCTTCAATCTAGTTATGACATATTACTTGGGTGCAGGGAGGGAAAGTGAGCGCAACCCTAGAGTATTGAGGATGAAGTCTGTCCTGATAAAATACTGTACCTTTTACATCATTAAAATATTAGAGTTCTAATTTAATATCTACATATACTTTTCTTATATTTGTTGCGAAAAAAGATGTCGTGCGCTATGACCCTCTTTTTTATTTTCAAAAGAGGGTCATCACCCTCTTTCAGTATATCCGGGGTTGGCAGGTATGAATACATCTGAGACATTTTTAATAAATGAGACATGAATTAAATACATTTCACCACAAAGTGTCCTGCACTCATTGTAAAAAGAATTTCTCACATTAACAATTCTTTATAAAATATTACCTTGATACCTATTCAATGAGCGTTTCTATAAAAGAATTGAAGTATCTTACCCGATCATTAGTAGCACGGCCACAATGATGACGAACACGACAGTGTACTTCAAAGCTGAACAACAGCTTTGAAAATTAAACCTCAACTTGTCAGTACGATGTTTGAATCAAAGCATTAACGCACATATTATCAAAGAAATTACACACACCTGACTTATGTGGTCTTGAATGTAAGTGGAGGTCATATATTTAAACAAATCAATAGTCATCTATCATGGAAGCTACATCCAAAATATAAATTCTAGACCTTGCGGCTCAGTAGAAAACGTCATTTGAATTTGCTACAACACATGGTCCCTGTGACCTTAAAAGTGGTTCAAAATAATTCTTTTGGAGAAATTAGCATGCTTCTTTAGAAACCACAGCTCATGAAATATCATTACTCTAACCCTCATGGTTTTGTAGAAGTTGTTTTGAGGAAAGTTTGATAACATCACATGATGTCAGGTGAGCACAAAAACAGGGGTACTGTTATGTATGTTTGATGATATACTCACTGTTTTGTTTGAAGTGTCCTCATCCCTTTCCTCATAGAAGAAGTACATGAATGGTAGTAGTACAAACAGGCAGAACGTCACCAAGCCATACAGCGCTGTCAACAGAGAAATACAGCAATCAAAATTGTCTGTGGGTGATGCAGATATACTGTAAGTTTTATCAGGATATCTTAAACTTAGCCCTTATTTGACCGTGTTATAAGAGGAACTGTCTACTGCTTAATCATAAAATGCATATATATGAACAAGTTCTAATTGTAATGGGACTATGTTACAGAAGTCCTTAAAACTGATCCCATAGTCGTAAATGATGCTTGGATAGAGTTGACAATGCCATCATATTCTTGCATACTGTAAGCTAAAGCAAAATTAGACACAGTGATGGACGGTTGGCATCACCTTGGCCTACACCTTTAAATATTTGAAGCAATTTCTGACTTTTCTGATATTTGACCTTGAGGTAAAGGCCACAGTAACCTAATGACACTGCATTGCACATCATCTGTAGGTGATGCAGTTGTACTGCAAGTTTCATCAAGAAATCTTTAATGGTTTTAAAGTAACAGCCCAAAAACGATGTTCCAGAAAAATTTGATCATATTTGACTTTTACAATGACCTAATGCCAGTGCACTGAACATCATATGAAGGTGATGCAGGTCTACTTCAAGTTTCATCAAGATATCTTGAATGGCTTAAAAGTTACGGCCCGGACAAGATCATGTCAGAAGAATACAATATGTCGACTCCCTCCATTCAAAAGGGAAGACATAATAAGCCTTTAGTGCCAGAATTGTCACCAAACCATAGTGATACAATGTCGTCAACACAGAAATATAGTAAAGAAAATTATTATAAGACTGTAGTGCCAGAAATATCAAAATTGTCAAAACAGACAGAACGTCACTAAGCCATACAACGCCGTCAAGACAGAAACATAGTAATGAAAATTATTATAAGACTGTAGTGCCAGAAATATCAAAATTGTCAAAACAGACAGAACGTCACTAAGCCATACAACACCGTCAACACAGAAACATAGTAATGAAAATTATTATAATACTGTAGTGCCAGAAATATCAAAATTGTCAAAACAGACAGAACGTCCCTAAGCCATACAATGTCGTCAACACAGAAATATAGTAAAGGAAATTATTATAAACCTGTAGTGCCAGAAATATCAAAATTGTCAAAACAGACAGAACGTCACTAAGCCATACAACGTCGTCAACAGAAAAATATAGTAAAGAAAATTATTACAAGACTGTAGTGCCAGAAATATCAAAATTGTCAAAACAGACAGAATGTCACTAAGCCATACATCGCCGTCAACACAGAAACATAGTAATGAAAATTATTATAAGACTGTAGTGCCAGAAATATCAAAATTGTCAAAACAGACAGAACGTCACTAAGCCATACAACGTCGTCAACAGAAAAATATAGTAAAGAAAATTATTATAAGACTGTAGTGCCAGAAATATCAAAATTGTCACAAAGCCAAGGCTCAACAGAGAAATAAAGTATTGTTATCAACATAATTATAAACCTGTAGTCCCAGAAATATCAAAATTGTCACAAAGCCAAGGCTCAACAGAGAAATAAAGTATTGTTATCAACATAATTATAAACCTGTAGCGCCAGTTATACCAAAATAATGTTAACCGTAACTGGTGTTAATGTTGAGTCTTATACAGTAACAGTAATACCAAAATATAAACAGAAACATGTGTTTAGATTAATAAATGATATCAAATACCTGATCACTGTCTGATATTTATTACATACCTATAGAATATCTGATAACAAACTTACTGTAACAGCCGTAAGCTAACCTGGTAATACCTGATAACTGTCTGATATGTTTTATGTATCTGTACAATATCTATTAACTAACTTACTGTAATAGCCGTAAGCCACTGATCTCTCTATTGACTCTCTCGTTGTAGAATCATTTGCCCAGTCCTGAAAATAAAACATCAAATTAAAAAATCATCAATTTTTTTACAAGCTAAAGCTAACTCTTTGAAGGAAATATAATTGAATTCTTAAACATCTTAAAAGAAATTACTGAATATATGTTTAACCTACATACATGTGTTTTATTAAGGATGTTTTACATAAGAGTATTTACATCTGTACCTAATTATAAAGAAGCAATCGTCATGATATTTTACTATTTAAGACAAGATATGTAGTTACAGTGTAATCTGTTCTACTGTCTTCTCTACACCAAACTATGTACATAGAAAATATATGTACAGACAAAAATAGAGCCTACGTCATGTAATCAATACACAATACATCTCCAGCACACACACAGACATACACACATAGGGAGATATTAGCCAGGTGGCATAGGACTAGTAGTTAGCGCCTGGTTAAGCAGCTCCTGCGAATTCCTCAATATTGTATTGATTATATATGCTAATTGTATTGACTGTATAAAATTGTATATCTATGTACTGTAAAGCGCTTTAGAGTGGCTTATGTTAGCTAGATAGGGCGCTATATCAAATGTTGTATATTGTATTGTATTGTATCAAGATGTCTAAATTCTACATACTCAAACGAAATTGGCCATAAAGTTTAAAGTTGTGCAAGCAGTGTGAAAAACATGAGGCTGCATGGTCCTGGGTCCTCAAAACTGAAACTGACCACTTCTATTTTCTATCTTCTTTTAACTTTACAACGGGTGGCCCCTTAATAATTTTGTTTGAAAATTGCAGAAATCTGCCCATGTAATAGTATGATAAAGCAAACTGTGCTCTAAAGACGGCCTCCCTTTGACCGAAAAATGTCAGCACACATAGGATCTAAATCAAGTATCACATGATTTTGTACCTGATTCAATGGTGTTGTTGAATTACTCATTTCTATTTTCAATAGTATGATAACTTGATAAGTATGAATATGAACGAAAAATCTTGTAACATTATCTAAACTTTACTTCATCATAACCATCTTGAGACAAATGTGATAAAAAAGATACTGAATATGTACCACATAATGCTCTGGTCGACCAGGAAGTATATCTGTTGATAAAGTTCCATCAAAATCCGTACAAGCTAAATGTTCCTCGTCTAAAGTAGCCAGGTATACACACAGTTTCACCACCAAAGACTGATGATTCTCCTATTCAATTTTGCAAAATTTACGACTATATTTTCCCTATTACACCTGGAAACTGTCCTCTGAAAGTTATTTTTTTCATCAAAATCAGAAAAGTGCCATGAATGCATATAACTTACATCACAAAAGCAATTACTTTTAGTTTATATGTTTTCTAGTTGTATCATTAATGATGCTATAATTAATTAAAGTAAACACATACCAAACATCATTTTCAGGCAGTCCTTACAACTCGAGCCTTATTTACTAGTACATTAAATATTGTACATGTATATAGGAAGTACATATCTAATTATTTCATTAAGTTCTTTTGTTGCTGATCCAAAAAAACTAGATTATGAAATCGATTGGTGTTCTATGCAGTAATAAGGTACATGTATACATTAACATGTAACAGGAGAAAGAGAAATCACGAGAATGCAATGGCCAGACCGGGGTTCGAACTCAGGACCTACTGAACTCTAGACAGGCGCTCTTACCAATTGAACTCCCTGGTCGCCGACTATCGACCCAGTCCAGTTCGGCTACAAACAAATACAATGACACTACATACCCTAATCTACCCTACCATCAGTTTGTTAAAATTATGAAAACTGTAAATTAAATTTATACCTCTTGTATGAAATAATCATGGAATAAGTACGTAGCACACTGACCTTGAATTGACCCTTGCTGTTCTTCATGTAGGACACCAGGAAGACATCGACCGGAATGAGAGCAGTTGTCAACAGGATCACACTTAACGCAACAATGGCTGATATAGTACTCGATATGGTACTGTCCCGTTTACTCATGAAATACTTTATATATATGGTGGAAAAGAGCAACACCAACTGCAATAAGAAAAACACTTATAACGTCATTTATACTAACAAGTATTCATAACATACACAAATACAAAGGTTAATAATTGATTTTAAATTAAATTGTGTTCAGAAACGGTTTTGATACATCTTTCCAGTTTTTAATGGTCACTTCCTATTTTATATTGCGCACAAGAAAGCATGCATGATATGAAAGGAAATAAAAAAAATAAGGTTGTATGTGTATGAGGCCCGGAGGGCCTGTATTGTTCACCTTGATATTCAAGCAGTCGCAGCAAAATATTCTCATCAAAACAGCTTTGGCTGATCATGTAATGATGCATTCATAATTATGTTTTAGTAGCGTTTGTTCTGAATTTGTTGTCTTGTTGTAGTCTGTTGATCTTTATATAGCAGCCAGGACATTGGCCATTATTTTAGGAGAGGGGAAAAATTATAAATTTCCTGAGGTGGTCTACATGTATATGGTAAAGATATAGTTTTTAATAAATATTCACAGGATATGTGGTTCCCTTCAATGGGAACCAGTTGGATGTAGCAATACTAGACTTTTCCAAAGCATTGGACACCATGCCATACAAGAATCTCTTGCATAAAGTCGCGCAGTACAGCATGCGAGGACAAGTGCACAACTGGCTGACGTCATTCCTAACACAGAGGAAAATGAAGGTTGTACTTAAAGGCACAATGTCCCAGGAGGAACACGTCGCCTCCGGAGTACCTCAAGATACGGTACTAGACCACTCCTTTTCCTCTGCCACATAAAAGACCTACCAGACTCAGTCAAATCACAAGTACGCCTTTTCGCCGACGACTGCCTTTTGTATCGACAAATCAAAACATTCAATGACTATAACATCCTCCAAAATGACCTACAAAACCTTGAAGAATGGGCAGATAAATGGGGCATGAAATTTAATGCCAAAAAATGCTACATCATGTCAATTAAGGAAAAGTCGTCAAAATTCTACAGTCTGAATAACCACATTTTGGAAGAGGTACAAAACAATCCATACCTACATGTAGGACTCCAGATATCAAACGACCTCAAATGGAGTACTCATATAAGCAACATCGCGAGGAAAGCAAGCTCAACTTTAGGCTTTCTGAGAAGAAATTTAAAACACTGCCCAAAAGAGTGTAAGAAAACAGCATATATATCACTTGTTAGATCAATTCTGGACTATGGCAGTATTATTTGGGACCCTCATCTAAAATCAGACATTGAAAAACTAGAGAGATTACAAAGAAGAGCAACTTGCCCAATTACTGGAAATTACAAAAGTCGGGATGAAGGACATGTCACAGAAATGCTACAACACCTAAAACTGCCAACCCTACAAAACAGAAGGAAATCACAGCGACTAGTATTCATGTACAAAGTAGTTGAGGGGTTAATACCAGCCCTACCCCCAGATCAGATAATCCAGCACTCTGGAAGGACGCGAAAAACAAACACAAAGTGTTATGAGAACTATGAAACATCAGCAACAGGAACATTGTCAACAACTCAAGGCCATTAATCATCCCAGGACACAAACAGGAAGCATACAAGAACTCCTTCTGCATCAAAACACTGCTTGAGTGGAACCAACTGGATGATATAGTAGTGTGCGCAAAAAGCGTAGAGGGATTTAGATGCAGCCCTTTCAAAAAAACACCCAAGATAAGTAACATATTCTCTCTCTCCCGTCGTGTCACGCCATTATTGGTAACTATAACGTATCCAATGTAAATGTAAAGTTCAACAAGCCCCCTAAAAGACAATATATCACCCTAAATTTCAACCCATTGATAACAGTCATATATTCCCACTAATCCCTCTTTTGAATAGCCCAATGTCTATTTCTCACACCAATGGGCTCAGAGACAACTGTCATCAGTACCACTAACAATTTCAGGGGTTCAGGTATAAGGGAGATCGGACGAGGAAATTATTTTTGTGTGGCAGGGTTCAATTGTACATAGGATTAAGGTCGCCTTCTAGCTTCGAGCTAGAGGGAATTTCCCTTTAGCTTAGTGGTAGAGCGTCCAACTAGGAACCTGGAGATCGAGGGTTCGATCCCCGGTGGAAGCACACTATTCTCTTTCCTGTTACAAATGGTGTCCGTGGCCGTCCCTGTAGTGACAGAGAGTTAGAACCTGGGTTGTGGTGTTCGAGGGCGAACACATTTAAAAAGGGGGGAGTATAGTAGTGGCAGGGTTCAATTGTACATAGGATTAAGGTCGCCTTCTAGCTTCGAGCTAGAGGGAATTTCCCTTTAGCTTAGTGATAGAGCGTCCGACTAGGAACCTGGAGATCGAGGGTTCGATCCCCGATGGAAGCACACTATTCTCTTTCCTGTTACATTTGTTTGTGTCACACTCAATGATGTCATGTCACATGATCGCTACTGGATGCGCACTTCAGTGTCTTCAAGCTCATGAAATTCGAGAATTCATTTCAAATAACATAGTTAGCATCATGCTGTCCACGGCACAATATCTAGTGTACTTACAACCATGATAACAACGAATGGAATCCATCCAGCAGCGAGCACAGAACTGGGAATCGCCATCTTTTTTGTTTTTATTTGGCGAAAATCCTCGGTGCAGAGAAAGCTTGAAATAGCATTTGCATGACTTTGGTAAAAAAAACGTTTGGAGGAGACTGATTTTCTGTGTTCATTTCGTTGGCGGGAAGGAGAAAAACAAAATAACCTGCGATGGAAATTGTCGATCCAAAGAGCCGATCTAAACGAACAAGAAAGGGTGTAAAGCTTGAACAGAAGTATACTCATCCGCTTCAGTTTTTTCACACACCACCAACTGATACAATATCTTTACAGGAGTTCGAAGAATATGCTGTGGAGAGATTGAAAGGTTCATTACATTGTTAGCTTCTCAACAGTAGATTGTTGATCTTGCTGATTTTTCGTTTACGATTTATATGATCGGTGCCTTCTTTTAAATGCATTATTTTAGTGGTTTAACATGTCTAATTCTAAGTGTTAATTAAGGTCTTAAAAGTATTTTCTGGCCTCTGATCTGACTCCATATCAGATCACCAAATTCTAGACGATTCGGTACCCAAGAGTAGGTTTTGACATTTTATATTAATCTAGGAGAAAAAGACCGTTTGATAGCATATGTTTTTTTTGTTTTTTATCTAGACTAAGATCTTACTAATTTGATATAATGTCAAACTCCTGTGCTAAGTGTAGAATGTTTTGCTACTTTTTTTTTAGACGAAAAATGCTGAAGAATCTTAAAATAAAAAGTCAGTAGGTCACAAAAACAAATAAACTTAAAAGTTGAAACATCAGTCCAAGTGACGAAAATTGCAAGAGTGAAAAGTATATTAAATATGAAAATAATTGACTTTTTAGCAGTAACGAAACATTATTACCCCAGATCTTACACCTACATGTTGGGTGTACCAATGTTATCTACGCAACTCTTACAGTTAATTCGGCCCTAAACATGTGCTGAATACATTGACTATATTTAGGAAACTCTTCAAGACATTTTCATCCATGTTACTGTCAACAGATGAAAAGAGAAGTACAGCTGAGTTTTTCTCGTCATCTAAGGAACGTCAAAGCTATGTATAATATCAATAATAATAATTGACGCAGGCATATGCATAATGCCTATACATCCAGATCACAAAGTTTGACATCAGTTTATATGATGATGTCCTGAATATGAATAAGTTCACTGTGATCTTCCTCGTGGTTAAAAAAGCATTCATGTTGTCCCCAGTGTTTATCCAATCAGGATTCAAATGTTTCGACTCTTGGTGACAGCTGGAATATATAGGATTTTTTTTTTTTTTTCATCTGCTGCATGTACATAACTGGTGTAGGTCTGTCCATATTATTTCATAGCAAACAACCAAAATGAAACGGCATTTTTGTCTGACAAATCATTTTGCCAAGGGACCCATAAATAGGATTAAAACCAAGGTCAAAATGGCAACCTTTGACTACAGGGGCGAGTGAAATAAGTTGTTTTATGTCCCACTAATTGACTGAAGTGGTGCTTGGCATCACTGTTATCCCTGATATGCAGTTGGTTAAGTTTTTGATCAGTTATGGACTAAGTACTGTAACTACACTCGTTTACCAGCATTTTCAACCATTATTAATTTGATCAATATACAAAGTGAAAACTTGTTGTTTTTCATGTAATCTTACTCTGCTAAAATATCTGCTAAATGCAAATTTTAATTAATTTATTGGTTATGACTTGAAAAATACACAAAAAAAAATGAATGACTTGGCCCATGTTTCTCCAAGAATCCATCTCTACAAGTACTACATACAACATTCTTGACCTGTTATTATGGTCAACTGCTTGTGTTTAGGTCAGTTACATACATGTATAAACTAATTACTAAGGTGATGTACAATTTTTGTGAGATGTTTATAAAAGTCTTATTAACCCTTTCACCTCTGTAGACCATAATGGACTCACCCAGATCAATGCATGGTAGAGTCTACTAAAGTTACATAGGGGTGAAAGGGTTAACTCATATTACAAGTCTTTTATGACAGGTGCCACATGTGGTTCCAAAATTATATGCTTTCTCTTTGAATTGACTGGTTTTGCTTCGATTTGGTTTTGTTGAGCTCTAATTATATAAGATTAAAAACACATATTTAAAATAAAAATGTTGACGTCAGCCAAAATGAATAAGTGAAACATGATGTTTGATAAGTTTTGTAAATTTATTTAAGATTGGTAAAATCCTGGACCTGAGTTCAGGAGCAGATTATAATAAATGAAAATTAAAAAAAAACCGCTCATATACAATTTTAGATAATAAAATAATATACACCATTTGATATAGCGCCCTATCTAGCTAACATAAGCCACTCTAAAGCAATTTACAGTACATAGGTATACAATTTTATACAGTCAATACAATTAGCATATATATATTAATCAATACAATATTGAGAAATTCGCAGGAGCTTCCTTATCAGGCGCTAACTACTAGTCCTATGCCACTTGGCTAATATCTCCCTATGTGTGTATGCTGGAGATGTATTGTGTTCTGTTTGTAGTGGGACCGTGCTTCCAACGGTATCATTTATAGTGCCACCTCACTTGAATGCTACAGCACAGATACCGCAACACCCACCCCAGACCATTTTATACTACACCTGGGTTGTTGGAGTTGTGTGGGCAGGAGAAAAACACTTTCTCTAATATTCCATGCGTACAGCCACTTCGGGAATCAAACCCCGGACGCCTGCTTGGAAGGCCGGAGTGTTAACCACTCGACCAATCCGCCCATAAACAATATATGTACAATATACAATTTTGTTTGTTTCAGTACTAAAAGCTCTGGATACAGCAGGTGTTCGGCATGTTCGAGGTTCCGATAAATATAATGAGTTGGTGGAAAAAGAAATAAAGAAAACTAAGTTTGGTCCTATTCTCAGGGTAAGCATTGGTAGGCATGAGATGAACATTTTACGACTGTATATCAAATGTAGATATATTAATTGCATCATGATCGCTTCACATAACAGTATTTATTTGATACGCTCATTAGGCCTTGTTTCAATAGATGTCATGTATACTGGTAATTGCTTTCAAGCACTATCCAAATATATTTGATGTAATGCAGATTGCAAAATCTTTTATTTTAGTGTATATGTTAAATGGCCGTCATAGCCACCCATATTCAAAATATTGGCAATAAATATCAAAACATCTTCCTGTAAATGTATAAAAAGATAATCAATGTTTTCTTGCTATAAAACTTCTAAGGAAAATCAGAAAAAAATGCCTTAATTATGGTAATATCTTTAAATCTCCTGTTTAAAGAGCAGAGTTTATGCTATACAATATATATACAACCTGTGTAAGCCTTGGACAGGTTAAAGGTTTTTGAGTACTTGGTAAGTTATGAGAAGGCTTTCCATTAAATCAACACAAGTACATAGTACTAGCAACAGTACTATTTTTACATGGATGTTTATTTGAGGTCTAACATTAATGCAGTGAGACCCAAATTGAACATCTACAATGTGATGCAGAAAACATTTTTGTTCATTTTCAATAGGTATTACATATACACATATTGTATTTCAAATATTGATTGAATCTGGGGATGGCAGTTTGATGGTAGGAAAATTATTACTCTGACTGACATGTTGTCTTTTAGTTATATCATTTAATTATTTTACTGTAAATGTTAATAAATAACTGTGTTTCAGACTGACAGAAGAGATGATGAATTCCTGCAGAGACTCGACCATATTTCACACTTCATTCTAAGATTGGCTTATTGTAGATCGTAAGTGGTCAGAACAAGTCCTAAACTAAGATTGGCTTATTGCAGATCGTAAGTGGTCAGAACAAGTCCTAAACTCATGAGACCATTGACTTCCCTAAAATAAGTTTTGACCCTCCAGATTACAGGCAAACTGTTTTGGCTTTACTGAAATTGCTAAATGATCAAGAAACAACTGAAAGCCCCGACTCACTATCAAAGAATAGTGAAAATATTCAGTTATATATGCTGGTGTGCTGCATTTAGTCAATTTAGTCATTCATAACCTCTGGCATTTCATTCATCAATCAGGATTTCATTTTATCTGTTCCCTATGAAACACTTATTTCTTTCTATTCGTGCCATAAATTCTGTTCATAAAGAAAATGTGACAAAATATCTTACAACAATGTCCCTTCAACATGAGGTTTGATTGTGATATAATTAGTCATTATGAAAAAGTACCATTGGACAAAACTTTAAAATGTTCATGTCTTCAAAATATAATTCCAGTTTGAAACAGTACTGGTTATTATTTTCAGTGCTAGAAAAATCACTAAGTAAATGGTAAAAATGACTTGATAGGATCAATTTGTGATTTTAGTATCATTATATTGAAATGATTTTGTTTTAAGGGAGGAGTTGAGAAGATGGTTTCTGCAGCAGGAGTTAGAGTTATTGAGACTGAGGTTCCAGAGGGAGTCACCAGAAAGCAGACAGGACTTCCTCAGGGAAAACAACCTCAACTACAGCCCAGTAGGTCTTCCTTCTTTGTCTCTGTTCTCTTTTGATGTAAATAAACCTAGACAGAATTCAAGGAATTTAAAAAACCATGGATCAATGATTAAAGGATATGAGGTTGACCTGTTTATATTTATGGAGACAAAAGAGCTCTCCTTTTCTGGTTTTCATGATTATATAATTTCTAAAAAGTGATGCTTCACTTTTGGACAAAATTAACAATTCTTTTGAAGGATCTGTCACCAAAATTTTTCAGGATATACTCTGCATTCTAACATGTACTCTGCATTCTAACATATTTATAAATTTGCACAAAATGACCAGAACCAATATTTTCATTGATTTAAACCCTTATAAATAGGATTTGGAACCTTGGAAGGAATTCAAAGTCCAAAAATATTTACAATTAGGGTAATTCCACCAACAGAAGTGATTCATCCAAACAGGGCAACAGAATAGAATTAATTAGCTGTATATATTGACCATCGTTGGAAACGATATATATATATTGTGAAATTGGCAATATTTCTTTTAATTATTGAGAACATTTGTCATTCAACAAGAATAATTTGATGTTCCTCTAAACTCACTGTACTGCTAAAATTTCATTGAACACAAGGTGGTAGTGTATCTGGCACACAGTATTTTGATGAAACTTTAGAACTGTTAACCCTGAAGATAGCTCTATGAGGTATATCTGTGGCCATCAGAAGGTGTGCATTGCAGTGTCTTCAAATCATTGTGACCTTAATCTCTTGGTCAAATATAAGAAACAAGTGAAAAGCATACGTGCATATTTGATAAAATGGGAAGAAAAGGTCTATATTCACTGAAAAAGATCTCAGTTCTAGTTACATTTCGTATCACATGTAAGTTATAAATAATGTATGCGAGACATATTTTACAGATTTCCGAGGATGACAAAAGGGACATAACTCCAGAGTTAATAGCAGCATCTGGAAGGAATACATCACAGGCACACACGCAGGAGTATTTCAAGGTGTGTGTATAGTTACAAGTATATGGACATACACACAGACAATAGTATTTCAAGATTGTTTGGTTCTTTGTATGGAAAATTAACAGTGGGTCACTCACACAGGAATGTTTAACAGGGTGCATGGTTTATATAGAAATACCTCCTGGATACATACTCATACACAAGAATATTTTCTGGTATGTTTGATAATAGAATTTGAAGAACATCCTTGATGATCCTTGACACCTGTACACAAAAGTATTTGGAAAATGTGTATATGTAGAAAAATATACAATTACTATTTCACAATTCATTTTTACAAAAACAAACGGAAGCAGACAAGTATTTTGCTGTGTTTTTTGAGCTCACCTGCTCAATGGAACTATCATATAAGTATTTAACATAATTAAAATGGGGAAAAGGAGGTGAACTATTAGGCCCATTGGACCTCTTTTAATACATATTATCAGCATGTGTACATTCAAACCTGCTTATTTGAAATGATATATCAAAGGTAAGAGAGAGAAAAATACAAGGTGTGCTTTTCAGGTTTCTTTTGAGAAATTCTGACAACTCCAAACTCTGAATTAACATATCTTTCAGGTTTATATAAATGTAATGGTCATCGTTTCAGGTTCCATTTGTGGAGGTGCTTGATTTGATCAGCAAGAGAAAGGTGTTTCTGAGTGATGGATTTGCGTATGTGCCACGAGAAGACATGATATCAATCCTCTTAACTCACTACCGGGCACACCTGTCCCATTCTTTAGCTGTGAGTGTTGTGAAATTTCTTGAAATTAACAATTTGTTAAAAAGGTTTCAAATCATTTATTATTTTGATATAATATAAGGTGTCAAAATAATTACTTGAGTATTGTAATACACACAGAAGTGACAGTAATCTTTATGCCCTGCCATTTTATTGTGGGGTGGGGGGAGTATATTGTAATACCTATGTCCACCCTGTCACATTGCATTTGTTTTATTTACATATTTTCATGAAAGTTTATACAAAGGTCAAGTATGAGAATATCTATTAGATGTGTTTGTATTCTAGGGACCCAAGGTCAACCAGGTCAAAGTCAATATTACTGTTGGTATAAAATTTTCAACCGGTTAAACTGATTTTTTGCATGACCAAGGAGGCATTTGTGTCTTACAGACAGACATTTTCAAGACTTGGTCCTTTTACATAGATCCTACCGGTTTTGTACATTTTAAAAACATACATGTATATTTGATCAGGTGACCTGTCGAGCCCTGCCTCACCTGGAGGAGGATGACAGACTACTACCAATGGTGTGTGGACTAAGTAAGCGCTATGTCGGGAAGGATTACACCTCAAAAAAGACCAATGTGGGCCAAATCACAGCAGATATGGTGGAGATGGTAAGTTCAGAGGTCAAGGTCGCAGATGACCTGATCAGATGATCTGCTGTCAATATCTCAAAATAAGAGCCTGGGGTAGCCATTGATTTAACTGCATGAAGAATTTACCATATTGGATAAATAGTTTCTTTTAAATGTTTTATGAGTTCATAAATTATGGTTTAATAGATTTATCGGTACCTTTTGGTGATAGTTATTGTAGTTTCCTGAGATTATTCCCGTGCAATTTTGTTTAACTGACAATACTACAGGGAACTGTTAAACTACAAACTGATGTGTGTATGTGTTGTGTGTTTGCAGCTCTCTATACAGTCATTTCCAATGTGTGTGTGTTGTGTGTTTGCAGCTCTCCAAACAGTCGTTTCCAATGTGTATGTGTTGTGTTTGCAGCTCTCCAAACAGTCGTTTCCAATGTGTGTGTGTTTTGTGTTTGCAGCTCTCCAAACAGTCATTTCCAATGTGTGTGTGTTGTGTGTTTGCAGCTCTCCAAACAGTCATTTCCAATGT